AGCTCTGGTATTCCCAACAATGGTAATAGATAAGAATTCAAACTTATTAATAGTGACGGCACACAGTGTTCAAACTCTAATCTAAAGATACAGGATTTCTTAAAATTTCTCAGTTTTTTGTTGAGAACTATAGTTGTTATACAATAATTAATATAAGACAGGACAGAAGAAATTGATGACTTAATGAGGATGTTGATTTGGCTCTGGTTTCTAGATCACAGATATGGGATAAGGATTATCACAGCACCATAAAAAAAATTGCAGGGTTACATTGACATATCCTTTCTGGCTAGAAAAAAAAACACAGTGAATATTAAAGTGAATGTAACCATCTTATACAATTCATTGGTTAATAAAATAGCATTTGACTGATTAATACGACTCGATTAATTAACATTTCCACGCCAAATTTTAGAAGGAAATATTTTAAAAACATTCAAGGCACAAATCAACCTCCGAACCATGGCCTTTAAGGGGTATAATGTAGAATAGGCTTGATAAAAGAACATGACAGAAGAAAAAGACAATTGAAGAGATAAAGAATATCAATACAAGAGACTAATGAAGAGAAATCAGTAGGAGATAGTTAGAGATAATTTCAACCTAATATTATTCCTAATTACCCTATAATACTCTCTCATAAATCTTACACATTGTCAACTGAAACACCTGGTATTACTCTCCACTTCACCATTACACAACATAATATTATTACTATAATTACAGTCGTGTGTCTTGACAAGCCTAATTCATGTCTTTTTATCCAGTCTCATGTACCGAACATCTTCTATTTTAGTTCTTAACATGATCAATTCTACAAATGATTAGGATTAATTATCCACTAATAAAACAGAAGACAATCTATTTCATGATGATAGAACAGAGCTCAGGTGCATATCTTCAATCAGACAACTTGACATGTATTATAATTATATATTCTAATTGAAAATTAAAGTTATCTTGAGTAATGTTTCAAATTGTATATATAACAAAATTTATAATACAAGTTATTAACAAGGGAAGTACAATATGAAAACATGACAGCCTTGATTGAAGAATGAAATTATAAAAAAAAGGCTTATGTCCACATTATCTGATTCTGATTTGGATAAGAAAGAGTATAGAGCAGTAGGCAATGAGGTGTTTTTTGAACAGAATGTTTACCATAATTGATACACCTCTGTACAATCTTAGAAGTCTCAAGATTTTTTGTGCGAACAGGAATTAAAAACCACATATTTCATATTATCATAAATAAATGTTTGTTTTTGCCATTTTCGAAACAATCCACGAAAGATTCGATCAAATTAAAATAAGATTACAATATCATTACTTTTCTTTCCGATATTTTTTGAAAAATATCAGAAGAAACAAAACAAAAATGTAATGTAATTTTAATTGAACTGTGGTTAATATTCCGAAGAATAAACTTAACACCAAGTCAACTATAAGCACTGAAAATATATAATATACAGTGATAGGTAACACATAAGAAAATGCGATTTTAATCATCAACTTTCAGAAAACAAAAGTTATATATTGTAAGAAATGTAAATGATTGTGTGTGAAGAATTTTGGTAGATAAAATGCCAAGTTTTATGAAGATTTATTTGGGTATTTAAAAGAAATAAAGATTATCTAACTGACGTGACATTAGAAGTTTAAAGTCAATTAAACAGGTAATTAGATTTTTATTGGTTGATATTACACAAGGTGTAACGAAATAGAAACCAAACTTTTAACTTTTTGATGTATAGTGATAGATAGACCAAATATCTTAAATAACATGTTATCTCAGACAATCTTATACCCATAAACATCCACATTTGATTCAAAATGGCACCTGCATAAAAAAAATAGTCAGAATGAATGTAAGGCAAAAAGCTGTAAAACTCAGGGCTATGTAATTCAACTCTACTCCCTTCTTCAAGATTGAGAATAAAAAACTGTTTACCCATAAACTTTCTGATTTGAATCAAAATGGCATTTGCAAATTTAAAAAAAAAAATTGAAGTAGGAACTTCAAAATTCAAGGCTATGAAACTCAACTTAACACCCATCTCCTAGACATCTCCAAGATTTAGAATAAAAAACTTTTCAGCTGCATGTATACCCATAAACATTCAGATTTGAGTCAAAATGGCACCTGCATAAATTTTTTTAAAAATCCAAGAACGAATGTAAGACAATAAGCTGTAAAACTCAAAGCTATGTAACTCAACTCTACGCCTATCTCCAAGTTTTAAAATAAAATTGTACATTTAAATAACTGTACACATATAACATCTGCTCTGGATATCAACAGTGATTGATCACAAACAACTATTTCAAAACCATTCTTCAATTCTATTTCAGTTTTCAACCATTCCACGCAAATAAGATTTCTCTTTTTAACTTGATTTGAAATTTGAGTCTGGCAAGCAATTAGTTTAACGACCTTCACCTTGCTGCCATGAGAGTGATAACGACCACGTCAATTAAAAAGAGAAGAGCAGATCTGTATCTCCACTAATTAAATTACTGAAGTTTTGACATTTTCAGGTTTATTGCTAATTTCTGTAAACATAACTCTATCTCTTCCATGTTCTGTACTACATTATCATGCAATACATTATCAAATACGTTTCATTAATTCCTACCTATTTCTCCTTCTTCTGTTTTGTTACCTTGATGGATTTTGATTCTGCCTCTTGTAGGGCAGAAATTTTTATGTTGAAAAATTAGCAATAAAAAATTATTCTTTTTCATGCACTGGATCTTATTAAATATGGCATCAGAAACAGTGACATTACTATATATTATTAGGTTATTAGTAGAGGCCACACAATTTTCATTTTCAAAAATTTTTTTTTTAAAAGGCAAAATGTTTTTCAGTACATCAATGCCTACATTTGCCAGTGTCAATATAAAATCTGTTAATTCATGTTCATTGAAAGAAAGATTATCGAGCAGCTCTTGAAACAAATGTCCACAGCAATTCTAATGACACAAGAAAGTATAAATACACTCTCTATTTTAAATCATCAAGTCTTTCAATATAACTGTATTTTCAAAATCCGTGCACCATAATTCTTCTTCAAGTAAACTAAAGAATTGAATTGAGACCTTCTATAATCTCTATAGAGACACAATGTTTTAAATGTCAATTGCTCAACTCATGTATAAGTTGCAATGTTAAGATGTTAATCTCTTTCTAATTTCGTTTCTATTTTAAAACATTAAAAAACTTGTTTCTTTTGAAAATCTATAGTTATAAGATTTAAAAGCAAGACTTTACAAGAAGTTTTATTGATTTCAGCTTAATATAAAGAGAGTAAAAAGATCTTGCAATTTTTATCTGAAAATTTTATTTGACAAATGTCAAAAGAATGCTTTCAAAGATGTTTATTGCAGTTTTGATCTTCTTGTCAATTTTCCTTTGATTTCAGTAAACCAAGCACAGGCTTTCTATCATTAACTAGGTGATTTATTGTAAGTAGTGTTTTATTTTTAGAGCTAGACATGTTTCAGACAAGGTTAAAAAAAAGTCATTTTTTCCTCCAAATGAGGTACAATACTTGATGTACAAAAGTCTATATTTTTTCACCTGCAAGAGGAACAATTCTTTTCAGACACCTACACTAATAAAAGACAATCCAAACTCTCCAAACTCTTCCATGGTGAAAGAAAGGAACAATTAGATTTTACATCTAAGATTCTTCCAGCTGGTCCTATGCAAAATCTCTTGGCATTGATCTTTCCCAGATTATCTGTACCCATTTACAGGTGAGTCGACTGGAAGATGACTTATTCAAGGTCATCAGCCTTACATATGCCGATTGAAATAGGAACCCACAGCTGCCATTTGCCTGACGTAACCAAGTAAATGATGTCATAAAAAGAACCAATGTAATGCTCTATAGAATCTCACATAAAAAAAATATAACTATAAAGCACATAAAAAATCTTGAAATGTCAGACACAACATCTAAGACTAACTAACTTTGTTTTTTAACAAACTGCAGTACCAAAATATAAAATTATCACTAATATACAGATTGCTTTTATGTGGTTGGTACAAACATACTCATCAATATTGGACAGCAATCTAGGGCATTTCAATTTAAATTATAACACAGGTATTAAGAAATATGTGGCACATGAACAATTTACAGTTCCTCAGTCAATGTGTTAGCGATAAGTGAAATCTAATAGAAAGGGACCTAAGCATGATAGACTGTTATTAAATATATAATATAATTATAGGTGTCTGGTGTATGTATTAAGTGGTATGGAATTCAAGCAAGATGATGGACACTAACTAGATTATACCTATCTAATCTGTCTAGCTATATAAATCTAGAGATTACCATGTAACATATTATGTCATGACATTACAGATAACATCCTAACTTAGTTTGACATTCTTAACATCTTCAAGACACTGTAAATTTAAACTGTCCTATTCTACAATCATTTTAAAGAGGCAGTCTAATTTTTTAAGTAGATTAAGAAAGGTTAGGTGCTCAAATTAATGATAACTCTAGACCAAAATCTAGAGAAATGTGTTCAGGTTAGTTTCTTTGAAAGTTTTAAGAAAAATATAGTGCTGTTAATTTTTCAAATGACAAAACTTTACCAACTATGCCACGATACGATACATATCACATTACTAGGACTACAATAAGATACGTATCATGATATGGGTAAAAGACAAAATATAGCAATTTATCTTCCATGTTTCAAGATTATTTACTATGGTATATTTTCAGACAATATAAGATTAATATTACAAATAATTCATTGTCAATAGACTTACTATTGCCACATTTAGGTTCATACATATGGTTTGTGCATTTGGATGGCATCTTGTTATATGTGAAAACACGTTCGTCAAGAATTCTTGATATTGTCAAGTATCAATACACGACCACACAATACAATACACATATCAAGGCATGTTGTATCCAGATGTATCAATTAAGATATATATCGGTGCCAGCACCATCAAAAATACTTACCCCTTCTTTATATTGTAAAAATCTTTTATTATTTTCTTTCTTATCAAATCTGTCTAAATATTTTAATCTGTATCCCATCACTGTATCAACATGAGTTTTATGTTTAACAGCCAGTTCTAGAGCTCTGAAACAGCAGGTAAATTGATCAAAATACTTTACTTTTTGTTTCATACTGGTCACAATGGAATCCATTTCTCAAAATACTGTCTAATATTCAGTCTACAGGGACAAAACATAAACAATGGTAAAGAATAACCTGGAGTAGGAATTCTTAACAAACAATATATAGACTTGTATAACTTTTAAAATACTTTTTCCAAATGAAAAAAAAAAACTTTAAGAAAGACATTCAAGGGACTGCAAAAGGCCATTTAATAAATAATGCCAATAAAAGTATTAAGTGGGCCCTGATATACATGCAGTGTTTAAAGTCCCTTTAATGTTAAGCCCTAACCCATTCAAAAATCAAAAAAAAATCTGACTCTATCTTACCTGTCCCAGTTATAAAGTTGAATATTTAACATGATAGCTCTGAATATTAAATTAGCTTGTAATAATATAGCTTCAGCATCAGAAGGATTACCACATAATAAAGCCATTTCAGCATTCCTAGCTTCTTTAATGGGTATATCTTTAATATTCATTATAAACTGTACTTTATTTACCTGAAATAATAAATCAATTACTCAATTATAATAAATATTTAACAGTTATATGTCAGTACTGGTACTAAAATAATATATCTGAAAGGAAATTGAATGTCTTAGAGCATCCTAGAATATTCTTAACCTTTGAGTTTTGCTTCCACACACTGTGACCACAACAAATTAGATGAAAATTCAGAATGACCAAATATCTGGGATATTGGTTAAAAAAGTAATAAACATGTTGTTGAATGTCATTTAGAAAAAGGAAACACATTGGAATATTAAGAACAAAAGAAAAATTTCAATTCACATACACAAATCTTTATAATGCTCTATGTGAATTAAAGGAAAGCATAGTATATCTATAATATTGTTCACATGTATCTCGTAATTAAGAATCTTCATTTTAGGGGATTTTTTTGGCCCAATTAAATATTAATGTATATATCTGTGTGTATATAGAAGTTTCTATTGAGAGTGTGATGTGAAGTAAGTACTATGATACCTTTTAAAAACATTTGGTTTTTGGGGTTTTAACTGATATGAATACTGAGCCCACTACCAAATGTTTACAATGTCTAGAATTAAATAGATATACAGATAGATAGATATAAATTAAATATATTATTATATATTATTATTCCTGATGACAGTGTGAGAACCACATTGAAACGTTGAAATAATAAATATACCAGAAGTATCTATCCATAAAATTGTCTTATTTATCTATATGCTTCTAAGATGCGGTTGAAAGATTATCTAATGTCTATAATGTCATTAAGTCAGGTGAAGGACTAAACGTTGTATATTATGATTACAAGATTATGTTTTTCTACAATATTGACATGAAACATGTGGAATGTGTTGCATAAACAAACATAAGGTTATTGACAGTCAACTCTAGGATGCACAGAATCAACAGAGTTTGAAACATAACATATTATAAACGAATTATGTCATCTTACAACAGACAATTTGTCAATTTTTACTTTCAGTTTAGCTTTGTTGATCAATATGTTTAATTCTGTACAGCATCTCTTTATTGAGTTCATATATATATATCTGTAATGTAAATTAAAGACAAATTAAGTGTTATGGTTTATTCTACCATGTTAAAACTATCAGACACTTCTCAGAAGAGTTGCAGTATGAACACAGAATGGCAAAAATCAAAATTTCAGGCCATCCACTGATTAGTTCAGAAATAAAGCTCTTGTGACAAATGGCATGACAAGAAATGAAGACTTTTTCAAGTTCATCAGCCTCTGATTTCTCTAATGTGTTTTCTTATTACATATAAGCATTTGAGAATAATAAATAAAATTATAGTATATGATACATCTACATGACTTTTCTTTTGCCTTCCAGTATATAGAATAGCCACTCTGAGTTTCATCATTAATTTTATACTCAACAAAAGCTATTACCAGAACAGACAATGGTTATTTCTGTAATAAAAACTTCAATAACTCACAGTATTAAATCCCATATTGAGTCAAAAGAGACAGCTTTAAAGATTTAAATATCGATGTCTACTTGAAAATTGTTCAGTTCTAAAAGTTATCAGTTTTAAAACCATTTTAAACCTGGAAATTAAAATGGTAATGTATTCTGTCACATTAGACAGGACTCTAAGATTACTTGTAATGGTGTTTTCAAGTTGAGAATATTCCACTACTTTTAACTTGGCAGTTTAGAGAATATTTAAAATGAGGTGGAAGTGAATAATGGTAAATGTATGTATGTGGAGATATTTGTACTAATTGATGATTGCTATATAGATAAGACTAGAATAGGGTGATACTATCACAGTTACCCATTACCATAAACTTTACATAACACAATATAATTAATTGTAAGTTGCTGGTATTTCTGACTCATTTTCATGTTCTACTTGGCACCTGATCAATTCATTTATCTCAAAGAATAGATCAGTAGATCTTTACACCTCGATTATGTTCAGGTATGTTAATTTCAGTGGCGGCACCAATGGGGGTAGAGCTCCAGAAATACTGTTATGACCCCAATTGTACATTTCTAAGAATTTCAAATTTGATATATATATATATCATATATCATATATATTTTGCTCAGAAATATGTGTCAGAATGCACTAAATCAATTCTATTTTACCAAATTCTTTTTGTGGAGAACAAATTAAGAGTCTATATTGCAATCTCAATCCTGAAAGTTGTCCTCTCATTAATCTGTCTGCCTCCTTTTTGTACTAACAATTCCAGGAGGCTGGCACTGTTGGTCAATTTATCTGGTTCCAGATTCATAACTCCTCATAACCCCATTATACTGTCTAACCATGGCTTTATCATCTCTATAACACTATAATATTACAAATAACTGATTTCATAACCAGTAATAAATAGAGAATAAAACTAATACCTCTAAAGTATTTATAGTTTTAAGGGTAAAAACAGGGTTTGGTATGTTAACAAATGTTACTATTTCTAAATATTTGTATGTAAATAAACTGGAATGACGTCAAAAATTAGAGGAATTCAAAATAACTAGACATGGAGAAACCAGACGGCGCTATTTAAGACTTCAATTTTCTTTTTTTCGACTCTTGTTCTACATAAAAAACACAACATTTCTCTCAATTCAATTATATCGACTATCAATTTAAATTCAGTTGGAAGTATCAGGGCTTTTCATGTCATAAAGTACTTACATGGAAAGATGCGGCATTTTGGGGGGTTGATTTTAGTCTTGAATATACAGTAAAAGTCTTCAGAAGTACTAGAAATGTACAAAAATCGCATGATTCCTTGAAGCAAAACAAACTGCAGGCCACACCAACAGTGACAAGAGCAAACGAAGCATTTGCTCGTGGGCTTCATTTCCTTCAAATTTTACATGACGCCGTAGGCCGCACGAAATCATCTACAGAGCCGCAGTTTTATCAGTAAATAAAGTGTAAGTAATTGTCTAGTTGTATCAATACTAACAGTAGGTATAGTGAAAGTAATTGTCTAGTGGTATCAGTATGTATAGTGAAAGTAATTGTCTAGTTGTATCAATACTAACAGTAGGTATAGTGAAAGTAATTGTCTAGTGGTATCAGTATGTATAGTGAAAGTAATTGTCTAGTTGTATCAATACTAACAGTAGGTATAGTGAAAGTAATTGTCTAGTTGTATCAGTATGTATAGTGAAAGTAATTGTCTAGTTGTATCACTATGTATAGTGAAAGTATTTGTCTAGTTGTATCAGTATGTTAAGTGAAAGTAATTGTCTAGTTGTATCACTATGTATAGTGAAAGTATTTGTCTAGTTGTATCAATACTAACAGTAGGTATAGTGAAAGTAATTGTCTAGTGGTATCAGTATGTATAGTGAAAGTAATTGTCTAGTTGTATCAGTATGTATAGTGAAAGTAATTGTCTAGTTGTATCACTATGTATAGTGAAAGTATTTGTCTAGTTGTATCACTATGTATAGTGAAAGTAATTGTCTAGTTGTATCAGTATGTATAGTGAAAGTAATTGTCTAGTTGTATCAGTATGTATAGTGAAAGTAATTGTCTAGTTGTATCACTATGTATAGTGAAAGTATTTGTCTAGTTGTATCAGTATGTTAAGTGAAAGTAATTGTCTAGTTGTATCACTATGTATAGTGAAAGTATTTGTCTAGTTGTATCAATACTAACAGTAGGTATAGTGGAAGTAATTGTCTAGTTGTATCAGTATGTATAGTGAAAGTAATTGTCTAGTTGTATCAGTATGTATAGTGAAAGTAATTGTCTAGTTGTATCAGTATGTATAGTGAAAGTAATTGTCTAGTTGTATCAGTATGTATAGTGAAAGTAATTGTCTAGTTGTATCAGTATGTATAGTGAAAGTATTTGTCTAGTTGTATCAATATGTATAGTGAAAGTATTTGTCTAGTTGTATCAATACTAACAGTAGGTATAGTGGAAGTAATTGTCTAGTTGTATCAGTATGTATAGTGAAAGTAATTGTCTAGTTGTATCACTATGTATAGTGAAAGTATTTGTCTAGTTGTATCAATACGTATAGTGAAAGTAATTGTCTAGTATAGTGAAAGCAATTGTCTATTTGTATCACTGTGTATAGTGGAAGTATTTGTCTATAGTCTAGGAAGAATTCCACCAGGAATAAGTAATAAAAGCTTTGGCTAAAGTAGCAGGTAGTTAGGTTAGATAACAAAGTGTCAGATAAACTATAAAATCACACTGACCCAGACAATTGTTAAACAATATCATATTAGTTACATGTCATTACAAAATATAAATGACTTTTTACTCAACATGTTTACTATCATTATATTTCAACATATAAAGTCAGGTTTTATAAAGTTATAAACAGTCAAGTAGTCTGTAGCCACTGGGTTTTTTATCATATACAATGAGCAGCAGTTATTAAAGGTTTAAAATTGAATAAAATGTTTACATCCTACGGAATTGCACCTTATAATATCTGAATAGTTCAGACTGGTAACAGAATGCAGAGGACAATTTTCAACTACTCGGGGATCCCAGTAAAAAGGGAGGAAATGGAAAATATCAGCCAGTGGGACAGGGGCAATGCATCCTGAAGCTGGAAAAATTCATAGAAAATTACCACATGCTTGTACTATACAGTGTCTTGTATTTTGCTCCAAGTAAACTGACACTAGACACTTTTATAGCCTACTTCATGTCAAGGGCATTCAATAACCTGTATGCTTGCAATATAATCCTACATGCATATAAAGTGGATCAATTATTTCATAATGTTTGAGGTGCAAGTAATATATCTGGAGGTGTAATGGCATATGGTGTTTAGTTGCAGAAATGGAATTGGTTGGTTGTCAAAACTTTGACAGGGGGCAATTCTTTTTTCTATGTGCCTGGTACATTAAGTTTACAAATACAGATATTTGTCCAGATTTACTTGAGAGTATAAGTGTCCACTATATTCACAATCATACTGTATTTTTTGAATGAGGCATTTGTACTTTAATATCATGCAAAACCATGAGTGTATTGGTTTGATTTAGACTGTAATTTACTTTATTTTGGTATTTTCCATGACACTGCACATATGGTTTATAAAAGCGAGTTGACCTACTAACCTCTTTAATGGCTGCATACGCTACCTCTGCTGTGTTCAAATCTTTGGCATAAGAAGCCATAGCTGCTAAACAGGACCATAAAGAATCGTCCTGAAATTAACATATAATTATACATATACCATCATTATAACTAAAATATCCTATAGAAGGGAGGTAACTACATTTAACTCACTTGAAATCAAACTACAAATAATTCCTATATTAATGTATTACATTGAAAGTTCAACATTAACTATGTGGACTCTCCAAATAGTTTACCAAACCAGATGTGCAGTGGCATCAGGTATTACCAAGGAACAACACAGCACCAGGAACAACATTCTACCTATTTGAACAACAGCCTTCCACAAATATTGAAAAATTCAAAATAACTTAAACAACCACGTACCTTGACAAAACGACACAATCTGACAGCATCTTCCCATCTTGAACCATTGACATAATCATGTAGAACAGCTATATAGGGTGATACAGATGTACTGACTAAAGAACCTTCAGCTCGACGTAATATTAAATGATTACCAATAAAAGATAATAGTTGAGGATCTTTACCAAATTCTCTAGAAATAGAATAATACAGATACAAGGTGAAAATAAGTCATGATAAGAAAGAAAACCTTGTATACTTGACTACTGTAAAATAGGTTAACCCTTTCAACGCTGAGTAACATAAGAAATAGTTGAAGTATGAGCTACATATCTTGAAACCTCAAATACCTGAAGCTCTAAACTATGTAGTTTGAAATGTGTATTATATCAATGATATGTTATGGTAATGTCATTCATTTTTTCTCATTTTTTCAATGAATGTTCAATGTTTCTAACAATTTATCAGTTACGCAAATTAACCAGAACTTAGATGACAAGACACTTACGTTGAGTCTCTAGTGAATATAGTCTTGGTTAACAAGTCTCTATCAACATATAATGTATTAGGGTAGTACCATACCATTAGTTTACCATCAGTCATACCAGCTAACATATTAGTCTCATCATTCCACGCCATAGACTGGATCATTGTACCTACAAATTGAAGTGATTTTGACAAGATTGTAAAAATAGCGAAATATGTCTTGTATGAATAAAATCAAATATTGAATGCCGAAAATGGAACAATAGAAAAGCAAGACTGTCTACATACATCAGGTATCACTCTCTAGGTCATCATATACAATAATACATGATGGGGTAGCCGTGACAATTCGGTGGTTCCAACTTATCCCATTTACCAAATTAAAACCACCGATTAGGAATCACTCTAAAGCTCAGCATTTATAGTAATGACAGAAAGTATCATCATAGATCTCTCTTAGGAGCCAAAGTATACAACAATGCAGTTACACAGCAAGAGTTAGAGCAAAAACTTTCACACCTCTTGATCAAAAGAACGTTTGATTAGTTGTAAGTCTGCTTTGTAAATCTCACACATATGATAAATGTTTGTCCTTAGACTGCAACAGAACCAATCAAATAAATAAGAAATATAGGATTTCAATACTTACCTAGTTTAGCTGACTTCCTCTCAGTACCAAATATTCTCACCGATGTTAAATATAGATCTCTATTTTTATCTATAATAGCTAAACGTCTTTCTGTTGTTGGTCCACATTGATCTAATGCTATCTCCATTACTTCTAACTATAATTATACATTAATATATTGTTATTCATAGAACAAACACTTATGACTCAATAGATAAAACTAATACCAATCTATTTATTATTTTTTTTTAAAATGACCACTCCTGGGGTAAGAAAAGATTTTCCATTATTGGAGTTGAACAAAAACAATTTACTTGTAAAATGCAAAAAAAAAAGCCCAAATGACTTTTTAAAAAATGTTTGCAGGTGCTCATTTTGATCTTAAACTTTAACAACCTTAAAAGACTGAGAAAGTTCATTCAATTGTACTTCAAATTAAATCTAAAAGTCTACCTTATTAGTTATAGGTTTACCATCTCCCATTAGTTTACCAGTTAGAGCATCAAATACATACACCACTAGAAAGATATAGAGAAACACATGTATTGATGTTGGCAATTTTTAGCTGCTCAGCTACATTGATGATATATAAAATGAAAAATATAACTAGGCCTGAACTACCTAAGCTAAATAATAAAGAATTAAAAAACTTTCAACAGCAACTTTATCAAATAGAATAGTTTTTTGTTTTTTTTTTAAATCTGTTTCAAAAAATGAGTAAACTTACATTTTTCATCGGTTTTATCTCTGATAGCTACAGTATCATTACTAATAGATATAGTTTGTGTATTTAATATATCTGCTTTCATTCCCTGGTACCGAGGTGAACATACCAATCTACCATCATACGAAAATACATATACACCAACTCCATCTACCATTACAAAATGTCTACAAATTCAAAGGTCATGTTAAGAATAGAAAAACTCATTTATTTATACAATTACAATATAGCAGAATCCAAAAAAAGCAACAAAGCTTAATGCCAATTTATCACTTAGCCTGATCAATTTAATGGCATAATATGGTATAAACCAATGAGGGGCCCTTAGTGGAGATGTGTTGTATCCAATTCTTAATATTTGGAAACTGGGCAATGACTTCTTTAACAGATTTTCTACCCGAAAAACACTTACTTTTCAGTCTGTTTGATCAATGTAACACTGCCTTCTTTTAAATCAAAGATCATTGGTGTATTCCAGTTTCTAGAGCTATAGACATAACATTGTGAAGAGGTAGCTACTACTAGATGGTTAAAATCTAATGATACTTTAACAATACGATCTCTGAAATCTAGTTTCTCTAATGTATCATTCATTACATTTTTCACTATTATCTGTTTACTAGCATTCACAGTAGCTTCAAAATTCTTCCATTCCAGTCTCCTGAAAATGGAATATAATATAGAGAATAAGCAAACAAGAATACAATTTGCCCTTATCTAAAAAGATTTCACGACTTTATGTGGATACATTTTATGATAAAAACTTCAGTCTATACAGGATGGAAAGAATGAAAGAAACATTGATTTTTTACAATGAAAATAAATTAGATTTACAAGGATCTATTTCTATCAGCTTGACCTTTGCCAATCCTCTCATCCACACTCATCTTTCTTTTCATCTTAACAGGGTCAGAATAATAAAGACCAAGACTAAAAATCATACCTTTCTATAACATTAGCAATAATGACCTGTCCATTTCCACTAGCCCCAGCTACTTGTGTACCATCACTAGACCAGGCTAGATTAAATATACTACCAGTATTGGGTTTCTCTAGGGCATATGACCACTGTAATAGAAAATACATGTAATTAGTGACTATCACATAATAGACTCAGTGTAAGTAATCCGATTCTATCAATAATTTTGTGGATACCAGTTGATGAGCGAAATATACAAGAGAATCCAAAGTTTTTTGTGTTTTGTTATATTACTATGTTTCTGTAACATAGGAGAAGAACAGGGCCGCATTCCACAAAGTCTTGTCATAAGTATGGTATTTTTCACAAGTACAATAAATTCATATTCTAAGATTTTTTAAGAAATCAGTACCGTACTTTCAGATTTGATTTATTTGCCATTAAGTATTATTAATAGAATAAGTTGTTACTTCTATATTGTTATATTAGATCAACTACATACCCCACTCCTATCACATAATCTTAATGTATTATATGATCCTACAGCAAACATTTCTCCATCAGGTGTCCAAGCGGCAGATGTTATAGGGTAATCATGTGTTCCACTGCTAAATAACATACGACCATACATATCCCACACCTACAGTATAGTATAAGAATAAACTTTAATTTAATATATCACTCAGTCTTTAATGTCAGTAAAATTCTAACAAGTTCATAATTCCACTATCCCAAAAGCAGTAGCTATATCATCAAACAGTTGAAGTGGAATTGCAAGAACCTTTCGATGTTATCAGTGTTTTAAATACACATGAAAAGCTTTTAAAACCTCTTTACAACCCAAATACCTTATATTTTACATAAGCCAGCACAAACTCAACTTCCAGATTTGAGTTCCCAGCTACTCAGTAATGAAAGCATGTAATAATTCTATAAGCTTACCTTATATTTACAGTCTTCTCCACCAGATATGATTAAATTATTAACTGGATTCCAATGTACCACTAAAATAATACCTTCATGGCCTTTCCACTGAAAATATCAACAAATTGATTTAATTCTGAAGTTTAATAATAAATTCTGTATTGTAATAACATTTAAATTGTTGAAACCCATAATATCATAATATAGTGTTATCGTTATCTATAATAATTCTCTAACACTCATGCCTTGAAGATAATGAACCTACTGCTTTGATCATTATAACTGTGCTGTTCAGTTACTGTGTAAGATTAATGTAAATAGTGGGCTCACCATGGTAGGTTTAGCATTAGCTTGTAATGGTTTGATAACCAGTTGTTTACCATTAGTAAATAAAACCTGTTCACCATCAGGACCCCATGATACAGAATATACTGGTAAACCTAAAAAAAAATTAAGATAATTAAGATTCATCAAAAACATCTTTAAACATAAGAAGCAATACATTTTTTTCTTTGACTACAGAGACAATAATTCCACAATGGTTCAGTGAAATTGATATAAAGTGGAGGTCCTGAGTTTGCACCCACAATTAACACAATTAGTGTTATTATATATACAAACATCTATGTATGTATTTGATATTTTATCAGTTGAATAACTTACTATTTTGTGTCAATGTTGAACGCAACATTCCACTTCTTGACCAAATCTTTACCTGGCCATCTTCTCCAGCTAAAGACATCAAAATAATATCATTATTCCTAATTTCTATCATACAATAAAACAAAAACAAAATATTTGCATTGTTAAAACATTTCTAACCATAAAATATAACTTTAGGACTTTGCAATATATAAACCAAAAAATAAAGTACTAAAGATAAAAGTCTAAATTTCACTTTCTTCATCTCTTCTCTTTACGGTAGTACTTTAGTCTCTATACACTATCATCATAACAACATCTAAATGATACATGTATAAAAGCTACAACTGTTATATAGAAGTACTTCTGTACTGTATCCTACCTGTGACTAAAGCTGTACCATTAGAGCTCCACTGTCCACATAATACAGCTCCTTTATGAGCATCAACTGTTTTCTCAACACGTCCAGTTCTACTGATCAACCGAAACTTTCCTACAAATTTTCATATAAACATAAATCAAACAATTCAATAATAAACAAGATCGTTAAAACATAAATATTTAAAAAAAAAATCTTTTATTTTGGATTGCACATGTGATATAAGATTTAAAAGAAACTTCAAAAAATCTATTCATTGAGGTTTGTGTGGCAAACACATTAGATTCTGGACTGAGATGAGACCAATATCAAATAATACTTGCCATCAGTTGAGGTTAAAACAAAAACATCAGATACTGATTTCTTGGAACCACCACCACTACTAGTTTTAGGAAACCAGTGCATTCCAGTAGGGTAACAATCTTTTGGTAATGTCATAATATTGGAAGTTTCGTGATTTCCAATTAAATTCCATTTTAAAATTTGATGGTCATCAGCACATGAAAAGACTTCATCTGGTGTTGTCCATCCCACACAACTGACTAAATCAGAATGTATGAACAGTTAAGGAAATTGAATTATCAGAATTTGTCCTATATGAATGGTGAACACTACATGACAGTGATAGAACAGGTTTCGGCCTTCTGGTCAGAGAGGAGACAGCCATTGTGCCCAGTTCAGTGATCTGTGAATTTCAGAATCATACTCTATAACTACATTTCAGATCTATTTATTTTTACATTATTTTAGTGGCTAAAACAATGTAAATGATATCGCTATCTCATCACAATCTGCCAACGAGGCCTTCACTCCTAGGCACAAATGTTATCCTTAGTTTGCCCTTGATATAGACATGGAAATCAATGCCATTAATACAAGAAAAAAAATTTTTTTGACTGCTATTGCATAACTACAAATCAACTGTATTCTCAACCAAATAACAAATCGAAGGAGCAAGAATAAGTTAAACTAAAAGTAGAAGAAATGATGGAGCTACTGTTACTGCTAGTCTGAAATCAAAACCTTAAACTACAACACTTAACAAATCAAAGCCAAGATCATCTATAAAATTTAAGATCTGGAAGTAAAGGATATGTTTAGGTTCCTTCTGTAAAGTCGTTTTGAGTCTCATCTCTGCAGATTGTGGTCAAATTCAATTAAAAGTCAGATATCTCCATAAAAAAGTTGTCTGCTAGGTTTGTTTACTTGATGGTATGTGATTAGGCGCATGCGCACGGTCAACTAATATGGTAGAAAGGCAACTAAAAGAAAAAACGTTTGGAGAAAAAGCACTAAGTAAAGTGGAGTGGAATTTTCTTGTCTTAAAAATGATGCGTTAATAATTTCAATATAAAAAGTAAATTTCGATTTTGAAAATATTATAACAAAATCTTTGTGTTTAAAGAAAGAAGTTTTATTATTTCGTGACACATCTAATAATTACACAAAATAGATAAGCGGAAAAGCAGGGAGTTGTGGGTAATGCAATAAAGCAATGTTTTTGTTTTCATTAGAAACGAAGCCTATTTCCGCAAAATGTGAAGAAAATATTTAAAATCAAGCAGGAATTTTAATCCTCTTACCTGAACTGTTGAGTAAGTTGCCCTCTTTATAAAATGAGATGAACCCGACCCATTATTTTATGACATTAGTTCAATTACTAGATAGCAATATAAAAAAAATTGCAATGCCAATAATTAGATTAGTCTAGCCTATCAAAATATGCGTGTTGAAGGGGGTGGAACAGAACAGCATAGGGTTGGGAACGATACTGATATTATGACGAACAGGACAGGTCTCCAATATACTTTTTCAGCCCAATGAGATGAAATGCTTTAAGTTTAGTGTTAGTCGTATTAAAATATTTGTTGGTTATATAAATTAGAAGGTTGAAACGAGTCAGTTTTCTTTTGTCTTTCAAAAATAATAATAGAACAGAACTGTGTATTTATTTTGCAGGAAAATGTCTCGAACACCAAGTGGAAGTAAACTGAGCTCCACTAATATTGACAATGGTGGTGACAGCAAAACTTCAATCAGTGTTAAAATTCCATCTGTTAGCTCACATGGTCATCCTGTCAGTCCTGATAGAAAATCAGGATCAGAGAGAATGATATCACCCTTGACACCTCAAAATACATTCTCAGCTACATTAACAGGACAGGAATACATTCCCTCTAGACCGGTACCATCTCCATCCAGTACTTTACATAGTGGATCAGCTCATCATACTAAAAGTCTGCGTAATGGACCTCAAAATGAAAAAAAGTAAGTTCATTTAATTGTAGTATTTATAAATTATTATCTATTTGTATATAATTCAGTGTTTGTACTGGGTACCATATTTTTGAAACTAATAAACTCATTATCATTATTATAGATTGACAGATTCTTAAGAAATAAAAAAGAAAAATTGTATTTGTACACTTGTTTCATGTAAAATGATGTTTTGTGAAATTTTTCTCCTATTTCATTCAAGATTCTAAACAATTTTAAAGATTGCTACCTTGAAAAGTACAAGCTGGTTGTGTTATAAGAAATCAAGTATTTTGATTTTGTTATATTTTCAGTTTGATCAGACAAGCTGCAGCTTCTATTATAGAAAGAGGTTGGATTTCTCATCGAGATAAACAAATGTTTCGTCTACTCAAACATTCTCTCTGTGCAGCTGTAAGTATCCATTTTTTCTTTCATGTCATATTATGTTTGTAAAAAGTAGTTTGTCACTTCCCCGAAGCCCTTGAACACTGGCATGTTTCTGTGATTAGATTGTTAATGCTGACATCCTTTGTTTCAGGAAACATCACTTTCTTATGAAATTCTACGGAAAGTTTGTCCTACAGAGGCAGAATTTTTCAAAGATAAAAGTTCACAAATAAAAGTTAGATTTAGGTAAGTTTGTCTTAATTTCCTGTAAATTTTTACAAATTTCCAGACAGCCATGACGTATGTCCCCACAGACAACATTTTCTACTACTCCTGTTGAAATTCAAAGCATTACTGACTTTTAACATATGAGTTGTCTACTTATGATCAACTACTTTTTTTTCTTTTTAAAAATATAAGTTAAGCATTCAGTTGAGTTAAATTTTATGTATGTCTATGATCTTTATTTATAGGTTTGGTGGAGGAGAGTTTCCTCCTATGATTTTCTTCAAGATATACGTACACAATCAAGGGAAAGGATTGAAATATCTTTCTGGTAAAAAAATGATTCGTGGAGCATCAGAGGTTAGTTCTCTACACTATTCAATGGATTCAAATTAGGAAAATGTTTATTCATGAGAATATTTTGTATACATTTTGCCGAAGGTCTGATATTTATTGAAATTCATGATGATAATTTGCTAGAGTTAAATAATTCAAATATATTTTAGGCAGCAGAAGATTCATTAAAATTAATGGGAAATCGAACATTTTATGATCACATGTTACAAGATACAATACATCATCAACAGTATAAAATAACAGATGAAATAGATATTACTACTCTTAAAGATTATATGCAGGTAAATTCTTTAATAGGCCACACAATATATCCAGTATAACGACCTTGATTCTTTGGATACTATCAAGTAGTCTACGGCATCAAGGCATTGTCTCTTCAATACATCTGAAACTATGCTATTTTTTTTACTGTGTTTCACAGAGACCTTGATTAGGGACAGAAATGATATATATCTATGATATTATCTGATTATGATATTATCTTATAGGCCAATCATCTGTTGCCTGTGGCAAAGTTTACGTTTGGTGAAACTCATGAATAATATATGATATATACGAGCAAACCATCTCTTATAAATCTCAACTTAATTGACTAAAATTCACCACCTCCTTATGATGTTATTGTTATATGTTATTCACTATATCTCTATGTGATATGTCATCTCACTTTGTAGTCTTTCTCCATAAGCCCAATAAGAAAAGCAGGACATAAAACTCCATTCATTTCTTTCTTATTGCAGTACATAGCAGTATTAGATGAAACACCAGCATATTTAGGTGGTAAAGACAATTTTTGGAGAAAACTCACTTTAGATGGTAGGTCTACAATTTTTATCTTTTTTTTACTCTTTTCTACTTACTATTCAAACTTATTTTCACCTTTTTTATTTCATTTCATCTGCTACATGGCAATGTAAACAATTCACCCAAATTCTGTGGATAAATATTGTGATATTGGCCTCTATTGTTAGGGTAGTAGGGTTTTTGACGAGGGATCTGCTCTTGCCAAGCATAGGGGTTATTATAGGGACGTGGGTTGTACGAACGTGGATTATGCGGACGAGAGTGGTAAAAATTTTCCTGCCAATGGTTGGGGTGAGAATAAAAGTTGCTCATGATAATTGGTAACAAGAATAATAACAATATGTATGTTAATGATTTGGAAGGAAGGGGTAAATTGTGGCGTAACAAAGCAAGGTACAAATAATATTTATTTGTGTGTAACAAAAATATGAAAAAACGAAAAACTTACAACAAATAGAATAACAAAAAATGAAAAAACTCCTCAATATTGTATAAGTACTGTGGTTGACATTAGAGTATTGTATTAGACAGTAAACTAGTTGATATAAAAACAATTGAAGCTTCTGTAGTCTAAAGACATTTTTCTTCCGTCGAGAGAATGATAAAGGACTAAAAATTGAGAGTAGCTTATCGCTTCAACCTTTTCAAGCAGTTTGATTGTTTGATTGTAGACAAACTTAATGTCAATTTCCTCATTCTGAAAAGAGTGTGGGAATGTAATATTTTGGTTTAAGCAGCTGGACACATGAACAATATTAATATAAGATTACATGTATATCCCTTTCAAGTGGAATCTGTTCTTGATTGGTTAAATTACTGCTCTGTGATTACGGTTTATATATTTTAATTTCAGTTTTACCACGACACACAATATTTTATGATATAGTGGATTATGCGTATAATAACCGGTTATCACGTAGATTAAAAGATGATATAACAGTCATGATGACTAAACCTATTACACAAGAAATACAAGTTCTACAGTTAAATACTATAGCTCAAATGAGGTATGGAATCCCCATGTGATACCTTGACAGTTTGGATGTTAAAATGATGGTGCTATTGTCCTGGCACAGTTTCCCTCAATTCATATTATATGGCTTTGCACATCTACACTAGCCCTTTCAGGTGCAGAAAAGTAGGACATAAATTACATTTCATTTCAAATGAGGTATGCTCAATAATGCTTTCAAAACATAAGAATGTATAGATGTTATGTCATTGATCTGTACAAATCTTTTTAATGGCCTGAAAGCAAAAATGGACAAGGGTTTGCTCCAGTTATTTGTATGCAATTTGTAAGCTTGGCAGCTTAATTTTTGTTGTTAAATACAGATTATAATTTAGAAAATGTCTACATTATTAACTATAATAACCATGGGCCATGTATTTTTTTCAGAGCGCCTTGGACACCTCAAGTTCCAGTTCCAACTCCAAAATCTTCATTTAATAATCAGTCTGCAGGCAGACGTACCAGACAGGCCAGAACGAGGGCTTTAAAAATGAAAAGAATGTATGGCTTGGGAGAAAAGGTAAGATATTAAGCAAAATTATCATTGGATATAAGCTTATATGTTTGGATATATATGTAGTTAGTGTTATCTGGCAAGTATGTTATGCTTTCGAATTCGGAAATCACTTGTGCCATATTCATGGTACACAAAAACCTCTTTTTTCAAACTTTTTCAAATAGAATAATATTTGTCTATTTCAGAATAAAACGGGTAATGCTGATGAAGAGTGTTATGATGATCATAAAACTTATCTTAATATGATAGAGGGTGATGATCATGGTGCTGATGATTGGGAACATGAGGCCAATAAACTTTATGAATGGACACAAGATTTATCTTTTCATGATGAATTAGTTGCTACTCCACGTCTCCTGGCATCATCCTAGCTACATTCTAGCTTATCAGAGAGAATTCAGGCCAAATTAATAATGTGGTGATTTAGGTCAAGATTTTTAAAAATCCCAGCCTTTTGATAACTTCAAATGAAATGAATTGAGTTTTAGGTCCTACTTTTCTGCACCTATTTTTAGGCTAATGAAGATGGGTGTTAAAGTTTATGTTTCCTGTCTTGTTATCTTGCGAATAATGATCCCTACTGTTATTGATAAGTTGTAATATTTGGTCATCTGAGAATGAGTTTATCTATCCTGGTACAGTTCATGTTATTGAAGCTCTAATCAGGATAAACTGAATATTATATAGATATATGAAACAATTGATAGATATAATGTTTGTTATTTTTTTTCCTGTGATATATTTTGACACGATTTTAATAGCATTTTGAACTTTTTATCATTAAATCTGTATTATGTTATTATTAAACTGTCAATTTTATTAAAGTGTTTAGTTTATCTTTGTAAGACTTGAAAATTGAAAGTTAGATCGGTATAGATCACAAACACAGCGTAATTTCTTTTGTAGAAATATATATAATTGAATATTCAAAGTTTCTCTGAAGGTTTGGAGACTTTTGAAATTGTTTTATTGTGATCAAATGAATAACCAGTATACTTGGTATTGTTACCTTAAAATACAAATTCATTGTGGTCTGGATTTGTCAAGTGGTTCTCTTTCTTGCACTGTCACCTGACGTCATCATTTTCTGCGCACATGCGGAAGTGCCTGAAAAATATTTTGGCTCTGCCAATATTTTTATAAAAATGACAGCTCTGAATCTTTATGTGTCAACATGCCGTTATGTTTTGAAAGCAGATCCGAATGACCAGTCAACATGGTCAGAATTGTATCGCTTCATCCCGTACCTGAGGCAGATATTTGCTTGCTCTGTTTGTGGTAAAATTCTGCAAAACCCGAAATGCCCATCTCACAATGTTTGTCAACATCACGTGTGTGCCGGTTGTCTTGGTGGGAAAATGCGCATCAAACCGCAGTGCAGCTGGTGTCGAGACACTACCGTTTTTGTTGACAGTCCAACAGTACGCATCATGATCATGTGCTTCAGGAAACTGTGTGATTACATTTATAACTCCCCTATTGGAGTACAATTGTTATCAGAATCTTCAAATAGCAAAGTTAACTCAAGTGAAAGAACAAACTTATTGTCTGTCATTCTGGAAGTTCGAGAGTTTAAGGATGATTATTCTTTTCCTGATGTGAATCCATCATTTCTGTTCCCACCTGTCATAAACCCTTGTCCTACTAATTTTAAAAAGGGCAAGAGTCCCAAGAAGACCCACCTCACAAATATAAAAACAAATTTGAACAATGCAAAGGTTGGAACCCCTTCTCCTAGTCCGCCTGTGCTTACTAGATTTGACAATGAAATGGCAGTTAAAATTAATGACAGTGATGAAGAAGAAGCGTCAACATCCATTGTCATTGATAAAAAAAACGAAGAAAGTAGTCCAATTGATGTTGTTACCGTTAGTCCAGTTGAGAATGCTTCACTCACTCCATTGCCAGTAATTGATAACGGACCGCCATGTCTTCAAAAAATTAGACCTTCAGTTCTGAATAAACCTAAAGTACGGAACTTTCGTCCAGTGTTAAAGAATGGTAGTAGAAAGGGACAATTTAAGAAATTAAGTGACATATACAGTAAAAAGAACAAAGCTAAGGTGATTTCATTTGAACCGCCATGTAAGCGAACTCGAACTGCAAACAACTCGGAAGCGCCAGCTAGAAAAATTTGTAAATGTGCTCGAAATAACAAGCCAAACCGTTTGACATGCCTTGGACAAAGATGTCCATGTTACAGTGAAAAACGTGCTTGTGTTGGCTGCCTTTGTCGTGGATGTCGGAATCCAAGACATGAAACTAAGCCTCCTGATTCATTAGATGTTGATACTACTTTTAAAGACAGTGGCTTTTCACTTGAAGTTTGCAATCGTAATTAAAGAAGATATCTGTGTAGGGCTGGTCCCAAGTTCACTGTACATTTTGTCATTGATTTTTTTTGTAATATAAATCATTCTTTCATTCATGTTATTTTTCTCACTCACACAAAACAAACAGTCATTCATCCTTTACAGTTTATATTTGTATTTTGGATCTTACTTTCATTTTCATTTATTTATTTGCATGTCATCTTCATTTCAATATTTTTAAACGTGACATTTTTTTCTGAATATTTTTGGATTTGGAACAAGTTATTTAAAGAAGTTAATGTGATCAAATTGGAACAAACTAAACTGTCTTGCCTTGATTTTTATTTGACTTGATTTATTATTGTCTGTAGCATCATTGTTAGATTTGTTACTGTATAATATAGAATATTGCCACTGTTAATATTGTGGTGTATGAAATATTATGTTGTTTGTTTCAATAAACCTGATAGAGATTACTTTTAATGTGTGGCCTTTATTCCTTTTTAAAAGCTTGCAATATCACAATTTTGTTAAACAGAGTTGTCTCCCTTGCATGACTGAGCATGAGAAATTTGGAATATTTACGAGATAAAATTTCACTGCAATGAATAAATGTCGAAATTTTTCTAAAGAAAACAACCCACAAATGTTGACACTTAAAGCAGTTTTCTGCTATTCCTTTCAAATGCCCATAGTTAACCAACTGGTGACATATTAGTTAACAGTGTTCTGAAAGTGTAGTTATTTCCCTTGATTGAAAGATGTACTTGGATGTCCATATGAAATAGCAGGTGATGGAGGAATCTGATGATTGAAAGAAAAAATTTATGTCCATGACAATCAATGGATTGATCTAACTGAATTCACGTTTAAATTCAGAGAGATTTGCCTCTATCAGTTAATTATTTCTATGGCTAGTATTTTATTTAGTTTGATAGAATGAGAGGACGTCCTTATTTTGCCGGCACATGTTCAGGGTAAAACTTGCTTTTGCCATTTTCGTTTCCATTATTTGATTTGATTCCATATGCGGAAGCGCCGTAGACGCACAATAAACATAGAATTTATTTGGTGCATTCTAACACATACTTTGGACCAAATCGTATAAAAACCATACTCTGTACCCCCTTTTGTATCCCACTTCATACCTAAGAATGTACAATCTATTTCTAAAGGGAGGGGAGGGGCAAATGTACACCCATTTGCTCCGCCACTGCAGAAGAAATAGACCAAAATCTAAGACTTTATATAGCGTTAAGCGTCAAAACCATTATGACGTTATATTCAAGCCACCGCCTTCCCATAAGTCTTATAACGTTGTCATAGGCAATGTCTATTATGGAAGACGTTTCTTAAATAACTTGAAGGCTGTAATAGAAATTCAACATTTTAAGGTAAGAAAGCTTCACAAATATTCATTCTAATTCCTAAAAGCAAACAAAACACGATTGCATCACAATTTGCCATGATTGCCATGAATTTGAACGCAGTAAATACCTGTAGGCCTATACAATGCTGAAAGCTTATTAATGAATGCGACAATAAATGAAACACTAACACATTCCTAATACATACCACACTTCATTTCATATGCCTTGCAATTACAATAAGACCAGCAAACATAATCTTGCTTCAATTATATTTATCTTGGTGTAGGGTTTGATTTAGTAACATAGATCTAGGCATAACGGCTAGGCCTTACGTCATTAGCCTAAATGTCCATAATAGTCTACGGACCCATACAAGTAAACACTTTATGGTATGGCCTATCAAATAATCAAATAATATTTGAATATAGACTGGTTTAAAAGTTCTAAGCCTAACTATGAAATATCTGTAACAAGTCGATGGCTTTCATTTATTTCTCCACATAAAGTCCCCTTCCAGCTTTACTTTAGCCAGCGATGCTGCAAAGCCTGGATGCTGATTTATAACCAATTTTCTGCAGCCACCCCTAGAAGGTAAGTGTCAATCGGGTAACTGATTAAGGGGGTTACTTATTTGAGAACTTCAAATCAACATAAATTGTCACCACCCATTTTTTTACCATTTTTAACCCTTCTGATTTCACCCCTTCTCTGTTAGGCCCCCCCTTCTGTTATTTTTATGCAGTTTGGTATGGAATGTGGGAACTGTTTGCTCTATGTATTTTAGCTTACACTTGATCCAACTGCTTCGGGATCTTCTTTTCCTACTATGTAGTTTCAGGAGAGAGTTGCTCATACTACCACCAACGAATTGGGAGTGACAACAGTTGCTGCAAGATGTGTGCCAAGCTCTTGACTTATCTCTGAAAAAGAATGTTGGGGGGGGGGGGGGGGGGGCCCCTTCCCACTTTACCCTTTTTATTTGCTTACCTAAGAAATCATGCTTGTTCCATCCTGGACAAATTAGCAAATGTTTCAAGCTATGATTTTGATATGCACACCATCCGAGATGGATTCAAAATAAACAGAGCATGCGCGGCGAGGGCAATTTAGTTATATTTTCCAAGAATAACACAACAACTGATAGTATTATAGTATAACATACAAAAATACAAAATTGACAGAAACACGTCATACCCAAATCTCCTGACATGTGTTGGCCAACAACAAGAACCTTCATAATATTATATAGAATCTAATGTGACAAATTAGTAAATTATAAATAACAATATGCAAAATAAATTGAACCAATTTAAATATAACAACAAATGCAAATTGATAACCAATGTAAATAACAATATTCTATATAATTATTAAACATTGTAAATAATAATAACCAGTGTAAATAATAACTTAATGTAACTAATAACGAATATAAATTACTAACGAATGTAAACAAATAACGAATGTAAATAAAAACGAATGTAAACAAAAAACGAATGTAAACAAATAACGACTTAATTTAAATAATTATATTTGTATTGAATGATAAGTAAAATATCTAAGAGGACTACTCGTTCATGCTTTGAATAAGACCCGCATGGGTAGATATATCTTTACCGTACTTCGATTTCATTATGTGGAAGATATATCTTAAAGATCAATTATTTTAGTGATTTTAGTTCAAAATTTAATTTGATCATAATTACAGTGACAAACCAAATCATACCAAAAATAGAGGAGCAGTATTGTAATTTGAAGGTCTACAGTAATTTATTAACTTTTCTAAAATACATGTATATTTATGTAATTTTGTTCAACCTGAATTTGTTTTAAAAGAGGGTAATTAAAAGCAGAACACGAATTGCCTAGTAACCAGTAAAAACTAATTTTGGCGTTCCAAAAATTAGAGGCCAGATATTTTTATATAACAAAAAACACATGGGGTATATTATAGTATAATATCAATTGATCAATTTATTGATGATATTTTTGGTTAAAAATTTCAATTAAGGTAAGGGACATGTTTCTCTTGGCTTTGATAAATAATAAATGAATTAATTTGAGCACCTTTTTATAGCGACTTGCTGTAAAAATCAAAGTGCCACATTGGCATTAAATCCAAATCTTTATAAATGATACTCGATCAGCATATTAAGCCTACATCGTAAGTTTCCAACCACAGGGACATATTCCCAAGTGGGGAAATTTGGACCTTTAGGCATTTGATGTGTCACAAACTATTAAAATACTATGCAATTACTAAATAAACATCTCGCATAACTTACACTAAATACGGTCTCAGTCAACATTGTCTCTGGAGTATAAAATGCTGCAAATAATTATCTGAGTACTCAAACTAATTTTTTGCAGCATTTTATACTCCAAACTAACCAAGAATGTGCCCGATACCAATCATAGTTCACTTTCGATATCTTGGGACATACAATAACGGATTGAAACCATCGACCTACATGGATACATGGAACGGTTAAGAACATGTCCAGTGAACGAGTATCACCCCTATCTCATCTATTCTTAGTCAGTCAACATCATCTCTAACAGATGAATCTCGGCGAAGCCGAATGGGAAGAATTAGAACCTTACGCCCTCCTACACTCGCCTCCCTAACGCTAGCCCTATCATAGTCTTACCAAGTTTCAATGAGATCCCCACACAGAAACCAATGGAAATATTTTGCTGACCAGCAACGCTAAAAGAATTATCAAACCTAACATGACATTAAACATGACACCTAACGGAAACCTAACTCGATAGAGAGGCGAGTGTGGGAATGCGTAAGGTTCTAATGCTACCCATTCAGATCCCCACAGATTCAACTGTTTGACATGATGTTAACTGATATTATAAGCTTATGGATCACCTTTTATCTGCCTTTTATGTGCC